GATCCTACTTGTTTCTTGTTTTTCAATATACTCGATACCATCCGAATAAAATCGTGTTTTGGTCAGAGAGAATTCATCTATGTTATGCATAGGATATTGGGGAATGTCTCTCAAAAGAGATTTGAACGCTTGGTCAATGATGAGATTATTAGGCCACAAATTTTATGCATTGGTTGGGTCAAAGGACAAATGCTAAGAAACGCAAGTTTGAGGCTAGTCAGTCATTTAGTCTTTTGGACTATATTTATACCGACATTTGTGGTCCATTTCTTATTGTAACTCATTTTCGGTAAAGGTATTTCATTGTCTTCATTGATGGGTTCTCAAGGTATGATTGTGTACTTAATCCACCAGAAGTCCAAAGCACTTGATGTGTGTAAAAACTACTAGACTAAAGTTGAAAGTAGTTGGTATAAAGATTATGGTTTTAAGATCGGATTAAGGTGGTGAGTTTTAATGGGAGAATAGTAAGGAGGGTGTAAATCGTAATACTTTCAGTACATACTTAAAGAGCAGTGCATTATACACCACTCTTAGTTTTCCTGAACAGAATAAAGTTGCAGAAAATAGAAAGTGTGGGAATGTCTTATAGAGACAGAGTTATATAATGCAGATATCAAGGAGCTTGATCTCACACTATCACTTATTGTTCTATTCGGCATCCTGAAAGATTAAAGGATTGAATATTTTACTATTCAGTATACCTATGGAGATTGTTGATATGTATCATACAAATTTGATGAGAGTGGCGAATCCAGTGGGTGTTTAGAATATTGTAGTTTGTTTTTGCAGATGAGCAATTTTCAGTATCTATTCCGTTTATTTTAGACTTTATTCCACTTTCTTTAGTGGTTTCATTTATACTTCCTATTATTCCGTTTATTTCAGACTTTATTGCACTTTTTTTAGTGGTTTTATTTATAGTTCCTATTCTCATTTTTTTTAGCTATTCCCATTCATTTAGTTATTTCTCATTTACAGATCTTTCTTTCAGTTTCCAATCTAGTTCCTAAGCCAGTTTAGCTTAGGAGATTTTCTAGAGCTTGGAAGTATGCTGTAGTTGGTAAGTTTGAGATGTCTGGTGGATATAGGACAAAAATTGATGGCCAAGTGCTTAAGCAAAAGTTAAGTATTGATTTCTTTGAGATTTTCTCCAGCTTAATTAAAGGATTTTTTAAGAGTCATTTTTTCATTATCACTCATTTATAAATTAAGTAAGTTTTAAAACAGTAGTATCCAAAATTTTGATACAGTGGTTATTAATTGTAAGTTCAAAGAGAATGTTACGGATAAATGCATATACCTCAAGTTCAGTGGGAGTCATTTTGTTTTCCTTGTCCTATATGTTGATAATATTTTGCAAGGTAGCAATGACATTCATGTGATACATGATATTAAGAATTTTATGTAAAGTTTTGACATGAAGGACATGGGTAGGCAAAGTATGTCCTTGGCTTTAGAATCCACATAGATCATGCTACTGAAATATTTGGACTTTCTCAAAAGGCTTATATTAATTAAGTATATGAATAATTTTAACGGTGACCAAGCATAGTAAGCCCATTGACATAAAGTTCATTTTCAAGCATGAAAAAGTTAAGGTTTAAGTGCCTTTAAGATTTCCCCATATGGTTACACAAAGATTGTTACATGTCCTCTCACTAAAGGTCTTCAGCCAAAGATAACAAAGTATTTATAAAGCACGTGATTCGGATAGGTGTTCGAGAGTCATTATGTTATGATGTCTAGTATTTCTTTTATATATGCTACATTGCAGTTAGTTTTTTTACGCCTTGTGGTGACAATTATTTTTCCTCCAGTTTACGCCTTATGGTGACAGTTATTTGCATCCAAAATAAAGTTATGATGCATAATTATTATTATCTTGATATATATGGTTTATGCACGTGCTATTATATTTGCCTGGAGTGATATTTCACTCATGAGGTTGTTTGGGTTAGATGTGAGATTGGCACCATATCGATAAATCCAAAATAATTATTAAAAGTTGTCTGAGAGTGATAATTCACTCATACGGTTATTTGGGCTAGATATGAGATTGACGCCATATCAGTAAATCTAAATATAAGATTTGTCTAAGAGTGGTAATACACTCATGATATTGTTTGGACTAGATGTGAGATTGACACCACATTGGTAAATCCAAACATAAATATTAAGTTTGCCTGTGGGAGTTTTTCAAACTCTATGAGGATAGCTTAGGCTAGATGTGGGATTGACTCCATATCGGTAAACCCTCACACTGAACAGATGGTTAGCGGTTTGCTGTAATATGTTCATGTGACATACCGCGATGGTAAATCTAAACATAAATATTAAAGTTTGTCTGTGGGAGTTTTTCAAACTCTATGAGGATAACTTGGGCTAGATATGAGATTGGCTCCATATCGATAAACCCTCACACTGAACAGAATGTTGGCGGTTTGATGTAATATGTTCAGGTGACATACCGCGATGGTATGAAGCAGGACGGATAGTGAGGTGTGCATTTAGACCCCATGCAGTTTGCACATCTCATGAAATACAGTAAAAATCACTATATTTGCTTGAATCCTAGATGGAATCGGTTTTGAGACCATGGAACTGTTTAGACTAATATATTACTTATCTACGCATTCATGATCCACTATTGAAGAAATTTATGGAGGAGGGTGTTCTAAAGTTTCAATCCATCAATTTCAATAATTGTGTTTTCTAAATAAAAATGAGTGGCCACTCGATTTTTATAAAGTGTGTTGCAATCCATAGTGTCATTTTATAAAACTTAGAGTGCATGGACCAAGTGGGAGATTGTAGGAATTTAAATATATATATTTAAATTATAAAATTATTTTATGGTCCTATGTACTACGTTTTCTAAATTAGGATTGCAATGTGATTATTGATACTTGATGGATTGTGTTGTACTTTCCAATTTGGTGGTCTAATTGGGAGTATGGTTTTATACCGTTGGATTGTGGTTTTCCAACTTATTTGGTGTGATTTAATTCTAACCATTGATATCTAAGTTTCCATGATAGGAAGGGAGACTTATATATGCTTATTTGTAGAGAAGTTGTCCTCCCTGTTGTTGTTATATATAGGGGTTTTAAAACCATTATTCAGTCATATCGTATCGACAACTTTCAGAAGGGGGTAAAGCGCTCTATTTTTTTTTTTCCGATCTCTCAAAGGGCCATAAGGAATTCTCAAAGGTATATGTGCGTGAATCATCAATCAGGTACGAGCCTAAATTCCCTATTTAATTAATTGTAATATTCTTGATTTCTACATGTGGATTATTTATTTAAATCCAACATTTTTTTTCCTTTAGTTGTATGTTTTTATGATGTACATTCCTAAGGAGAATTCAAAGAAGGCATACCCTTTGGAAAAACAATGTTACAGGGAACCAAGAGAAGCTTAGAGGCTACTCTTTTAGAACATCTCATTCTCTTTATTTTGAAAAGTCCAACACCTTGGTTCTTATAACTTTGTGTGGTGTATGGTTTTGGTTAGTGGTGTATGATTTTGGTTGGGTGGGATTTATTGTTCTTGGTGGAGGTGGAATAGAAGCAATTGGTGAAAATTGGTACAAAACACCTCTTATTTGAAGTAGCATTTAACTACATGATTAAAGGATGACAGGTTCTTTAGCTTAACTGAAGTACTCCTTGTGAAATAATTTTTCAGGATGGGGGAGCTATCAGAAAATGTTCGTTTGAGGGTCATTCAGAATCTGCAATCGAGGCTGCGTGACATGGAGATTGCGCATGAGGACTCAACACTGTTGAGAAAGATTTTCGAGAAAGAGATAGCACTGGTTCGTGATGAGACCTGCTTCATCTTATATAATGTCGAAGATGTGAAAGTTGTAACATATCTGAAAGCAACAGACTCTTGGGGGCATGGGTTCGTACTGATTGATGATAAGACTGGGTCGGAGAGGAAAACTATGGTGCGTAAGCTAAAGAAGCGGAAAATGCGACTTAAGGAGTAGAAGAGCAGGGTATTCATCCGATGGTAATTGAGGATCAAACAAGCAGATAGACTACTAAACTTAAAATTCTGCCATGTTTGATTGACAATCTGAGCTACTAAGTTGTATATATTAGACTTGTTAAATCTAAGCAGGTGCCTCAGTGGCAACACTTTTTTTTTGGGGTCTTTGCAAAATAGGGGCAGTGGCAACACTTTTTTTTTCAAGTACTTTCATGTGGTAAACCTAGCTTGAGAACATATTTTTGACAGTAGTTCACGAGTTATAAATAGAATAAATCAGAGCCAAAAGGCATGAAGAAAGTATCCGGCAGTTTTTACACACAAATAAATCTCACTAGTCCTATTGATCATAATTGTTGTAGGAATATTTGGAATTATTTTTTTATTTATTTTATTTAAGTCCATTAGTTAGGTCATTATTGTTTCACACCAATAAATCTGACTAGTCCTATTGATCATAATTGTTTCCATGAATATACAGATATAAGTGTTTTTCCACTAGAATTTCACCTTGAAAGAGCCTCAAAAAGACCAATGTGTCAATTTCTTCACTAGTTTTCCAGATATAAGAGTTCACCGGTTGAAGCTAAAATTGATGCTTGTCCCCTCTCTCTCATTGGGAAAATGGTATACATATATATGTGTGTGTGTGTGTATATATATATATATGTTTATTTGGATTTCTTGATTAACCAAAAGACACATTTTTAAAAACTTATAAGAAATAAGCATATTTTAAAAACCTTCCAACAAATAATGTCAAATTTATCAATGCAAAATAGGGCAGTGGCAACAACTTTTTGTTTTTTTCCTTACCTGGAGACAATTTAGTTGAGCACTAAACCCCATTTCATGCCCCCATTTAACTTCCACACCACGTAATACATTTTCCACAATGATCTCGAGATAAGTACTTTCATGTGGTAAACCTAGCTTGAGAACATGTTTTTGATAGTAGTTCATGACTTATAAATGGAAGAAATCAGAGTCAAAAGGCATTAAGAAAGTATCCAACAGTTTTTCCAAAGAAATTACAGGTGGGAAAGTCGCTAGTTCTTGAAAGGTTAGCAAACTGCTTGGAATCATACAAATGAATAATCGATGATTTTTATGTGCTCGGAAGGAAAAAACTCCAAAACTTAACGGCTCTAGTAGGTGATCGATCGATTAAACATCACTCTCTCAGCCATGGTGCTTGAGCTGGTGTCCATTGGCATACTTCATCTTCTTTGAACCAGAGAGCTACAAAGAAACCAAAAGTATTCAAGAAGTGCGTTAGAATATATAGATAACCTTATTGGATAAGAATGTAGACGTGCACATAAAGAGGGTTTGATATTCAGACACATGGTGTGTATTAGACTATCTACCAGTTAAACCAATGCAGTTCACGCCAAAGTCCGAAGCATCAATATTATCTGCATCCCTGGTTGATTTTCAAGGAGAGGTTTTTAACTAGACAAGTCTTTAGATCCACACAAGAAGTCAACTAATCTATTCTTCACTCAATTGTTCATTTCTTGCTAAATACATGATATGAATGCAGAGGCGTAGGATCTTTCGAGCTCTGGTTTTATATGTACCACATATAGTAGATAAAGATCATAGTATAACACACTCACTTCACCCTCTATTGCCAATAAAATCAACCTTTATTGCCAATAAAAGCTCAAAAAGGAGTCAAGCAAATATGGGCGAACTTGAGATTTGGTTGGCTATGAATGAAGAGGTTCACTAACGCTGGAAATTTAAGCTATCGAAACAAGAAGGAAGTTGAAATTTGTATTTTGCCAAATGTAGCATGTGTGGTTTGTAAGGTCTATTGGATTTACAGAATCCTCTCTCTAATTTACCATTTGACTTCAATACATGTACTTGGGCTAAAATATAAACGCACATATTGCACCAGCATCAAGATTGCCGGTAATCTACACTTTAGTGCGATAAGGAATTCAGGAATTGTAACGATCTTCACCAGATTAAGCATATGTAACCTGAGTACGAGACCTTATTTCACATGATTCAATATTAAAGGAAACTTTCACGGAAAAAGTTCAATAGTATCCCCTTAAATTCCAAGTAATTCTGTAATTTAACCACTAGAGGGAAGAGCGTATGTAATGCATGAATGCAATTTCGGGCCAATCACATCAACATGGGACAAAGGCAAGGATGGCAATGATATAGGCAGTTTCTTATTAGTAGTACACAATTTATCACCAATATACTGAGATCTGAAGAGTAATACAGGAGAAGGTTACCTCTGAACGGCATGTAGTTAGAAAGGTTTTAGAATTGACTGTTAAGCCAATTCAAGAACAAAAATTCATGTTTCGCATCCCAGTAAGCAATGTTTCCCCTTTTTTTTTTTTTTATACTTTGATTATCTATTTTTCTGTAAACTCATGATGATGTTTGGAATACTTAGCAAAGTTTATGATCACTGACCAAGCTTATAAACGTGGTGTATGACTGTACAGGAAAATGTTTTTTAGGATGAAAACTTCAAAGGCATAAGGTATCATATGGACAAACTAAAAAGGCATAAATCTGTATTGAAGGTCAGATCAAAGGCGCAACCATCATGAGAACATTCCAAAGAAAACATTTTGTGCCTAATTCTACTCAATAACTGATATTACATCAAAGGCTTTACCTATTTCACGCTTGCCATTCTCAGGGCTGTCACTCCCATGAACCACATTCCTGCCAAAAGGATCAATATAAGCCCTTGTCTGTCTACAGTTTAAATGGAACTGATGAAACAAATTTGACATTTTGAAATCCACAACAATGTAGAACAGAATCGATGCATATTAAATATTTAAATTATAAAAAAGCCTAAGAGGCCCAACCTTCCTGTTTGAACCGCAAGATCTCCTCTGATTGTGCCCGGTTCAGCCTGAAGTGGATTTGTTGCTCCTATAAGCTTACGAGCTGATGCAACAACACCAATGCCTTCCCAAGCCTTCCCAACAAGAAATCACCATACTTTTCTTAGAAAACCATGAATTCTATAAAACTACCCTCCGAATTTATTCATTCCCATGAAAGGATATAGCAGGAAGATAAAGATCAGGAGAACTATACCATACACACAACAGGACCAGAGGTAATGTAATCAATCAGTTTTGTAAAGAATGATTTGGACTTGAGGTCTTTGTAATGCTCCTTCAGTCATAGAAAAATTACAATATAAGTGGAATAATTTAGGCATCATAAAGAGGATATACTAATTATGTTCCATCTCAAAGAGGATATACTATCTATGTTCCAGTTATATTCAAATACACACACAAATATCTAGTAAAGAGAACTTAACGAAGACAAAAATGAACTGAATTATATCATGCTCTAGTTACCCAATCACACTAACTAAACAATCAATTAATTCAATTTCTACCATATAAATGATTTTCCTGTTAGACCCAAATGAAAGTTGCTATAAATAAACTTCAGCATCAATGCACTTTTGCATTAGACTTGGTAACTATGTTACATGGACTCTTCAAAAGTAGGCAAAGTACCCGTATTGGACACACATTAATCGGACATGGTATCCGATATGTGTCAACTTGGACATGCCCCTAAAAAAATGCAACAATTCAATTTTATTAGGGTATATTATTACTTCAAAAAATACATCATTTTATTCTAGAAAATAAAAAAATATATATTTTAAATGAAATGAATATTTAGGTGTCAATGTGTCCTTTTCTTAAGAGATTTGACATGTCCAACGCATGGATGCATACCCGACGCACATACCTAAGTTCAAGTAACATAGCTTGGAAAAGCTCTGGTTACCCAATCCTGTCAACTAAACTATCAATTAGTTCAATTTCTACCACTATAACCAAACTACACAATCAATGCACTTTTACATTAGACTTGGAAAAGCCTTACACAGTGTTGCTTTCTCAATAGCACAAATGCAAATTAAAGTATGACATTAGAAGACAAACCTCTGCCAATTCCTTGGGACATTGAAAGAGCTTCAAGCCTGTTAACTTAAACCCCTTCTTCTCAAACCTAGAAATTATCTCTCCAACCTATCAAAACTCAAACCAACATAACCAAACTTAATTCATCAACAACAACAACAAGATAACACAAAATTAGAATACCACTAAAGCTAATTTTTTTTTTAAAAAAAAATTATATAGGTTAACAGATTAAATAAAGCTTACAAGGCCGCGTTGAACACCATCTGGCTTAACCATAATGTATGTCTCTTCCACTTCTTCCTAAACGAAATTCAAGAAAATGAGAGGTGAATTCAAATGGGTTCTCAGTCTTTTTGCAGAAATTGAAACAAAATTGAGAGAGAAAAAGTTTTAGTGAGAGAAACAAACCATTCAAATGGGTTTTCAGTATTTTTGCAGAAATTAAATTAAAATTGTGAGAGAGTGAGAGAGAGAGTTTTAGTGAGAGAAACAAACCGTTGAAGCAACCAAGTGAGGAAGGAAGATGTGGGATTTGTGGGTATTCTTGTGGGCATGGGGACGAGATGGGTAATTCGAGAAAAGATGGGACTGTGTCTGGAATGCGGAGAGGTGGTTGTGGTGGGTGGTGCGCAGGATAAGCTTGTGAGAGGAGGTGTAGGATAACCTGCAGCCATTTCTATCTGCTGTTGGTGAGCGGAGGAGGGAAGATGATAAAGCACATGGGCTTCCTCCAAACACCGCTAGAGCCTCCATTTCCATTCTCTCTCCTCTCTCTCTCTCTCTCTATCTACTGAAATAAAACTGCAATTTCATTACTCGATTTTACTAAATTACCCCTGATTTAAATAAATAAATCTTTGCCCAAAAAAAAAAGCACTGCGGCTAATCGGCTACTGTCACTCCGCTCCTAAAGATATGGTGTTCGAACCTCAGCACACACATAGGTCTAGACACACATATCCACAATATATGTGGGACCCGGACTGCAATTGGTGTATTTTTTTTTTTTTCCCAAAACAATTGAATTTTTTTAAAACAATAGGACACACCCTTTCCAAATCTATCGGTGTGTTTGGTTCAACTCTATAAAAAAAAGTTTTCAAGAATTAAGGAAAAAAAAAAAAAAACTGTTTTTGGGAAATTATAAAAGTTCATTCTTTGTAAATATGCAAATTTTTAATCGACTTCAAAGAAAAACGGTCACCAAACACATATTTGTACTATTTTGTGGAACGAATTTATCTGAAAACAGAAAAATTGAAGGAAACATACTTTTATCTTTCGAATAAGTTTCCTCAAATCCAATTCCATTAAAATTATGACAAGGCAAAGACTCCGTAATTCGGATTAAGTCTATACGCTTATACTTACTCTAACTGGTATTTGTTACTTAAATCCAACTTTAATATCGGTGTGTTAAGACAAAAACCTAATAATTTTGGTTAAGTTTGGTCTCCGCGAATAAACTAATGCTTATTTTATCTTTATGAAAACTTGAACCATTAATTTTTTACTTTAAAAAGAAAAATATATATATTCTATTATAAAAAAATCTTCTATTATTTTTTTTCAGCAGAAAATTTTCTTGTATGTAGGGACTCATAATGGTACCATTACACTACAAAGAAAAGAATCAATTCATGACTTTGTGTATATGTAAAAGGGATTATAATAGGGGGGACAGATATAGGTGTTAATTATAAGTAAACATAATATTATACTTAACACTCGTTTTCCATGAGACATCCAACCCTGCCCTACATGTATGTATGTGTGTGTGTGTATATATGCTTTCTTTACCAGACAAAACCCTCTTTTGCTCAGATTTATTCAAAATAGTGAATTTTGCACCCCCAACATGTGTATAATTTGAATCTTCATAACTTAAGCATGGGATTTTAGAAATAGAATTCTAGGAGAATTCAAGCCTTCGATATTAAAGTTAAAAGACAAAACCCTCTTTTGCTCAGATTCCAATGATCATGTACAATGTTAGTCCAAACAGTTAGTGTAGTGTCTTCTAAGAATGGAGTACTTATAATGAATGTGTGATCCAATAGTCGAAATTATTAAGTTGTGCACCGTCGTATAAAATTGGAGATTTAGAATTAAAAATGGTAGAATTAGAGATAATTTTAGTTCAATTTTCTGAACTGTTTTTCTTCAATTTTGTCAATTCATATTCTAAAGCTTACCATATAACCAAAAACGAATTTGTGACTTTAAAACGTGTAGAATTACTTTATCTTAGGGTGTTACTTGTTCCCTTTGAATATGAATTTGTTAACACATTTTTAAAAATACTTCCATGATACGACAAAGTCACAAGAAACTATAGTTAGCAATACTAACAAAAGGAATGGAGAAAAAAAAAAATACTAACAAAATTCTTCGGAACACTTCTATGTCTATAATTTCAACTCTAAAAGGAATGGAGAAAAAAAAAAAGAGAGAATTGTTGTGGTTGCAAGTTCTAATTTTAAAATACACGTTTTTAATAATATACGATTTATAAGTATGATTATTAGTTTTAAAAAGTCATGATAATCATAGACAACAATGAATAATATGTTGTTCCTTTTCCAATACATATATGTGTATTACACAAATCGATCAGTTTTTATTGCGATTTAAAAAAAAAAAAAACAGAGTCCAATAAAACACTTTTTGTCAGTAAATTATAAAGATGAACTCTCTTATTGTTAACTATTTCATGGTTTATATCAATTTCCTTTCTTATTTTTTTCCCTATCTGGCCTAAAATGATCTAATGGCATGGGCTAGACAAATGGGATGGCATTGAGAGAGAGAGAGAGAGGAAATACTACTTGAAGTAGACATATGTTGGTTGGAATTTTACAATTAAACATCCGTCAAATTTATTCAAGATCAAGTTGATATCAAAGGGTAATTTGGTCGAGTTATCTGAATTGAATTCTGGAAAAGTCTAACTAAGCTCAACTCAAAATATAAAGTCTTGAACTGAAACCTAATTTGAGATGCAGTTCGGTTTTCTCATTCGAACCCAACCATGGGCTTACAATTTGAAATTTGGGTTGAAAAAACTAGACTAAAAATTGAGTTTGTCTTATGTTAGCGTCGGATTTGGTTACTCTTACGCAGAATTTTTTATTTAAATAAAGATAAATATATAAAATTATAACCAAAACACTCACAAAATTAATTATGCCTAGGATTTATAGTGGAGACATATATAGCCTATAGGTGTTAATTGTAATTAAACATAATATTATTATAGTTGACTCGTTTTCCATGAGACATCCAAGCCTGCCCTACATGTATACTTTCTTTCACCACTATCCAGACAAAACCCTCTTTTGCTCAGATTTTATTAAAATAGTGATTATGCACCACCTAACATGTGATTATACTTTCTTCATCACTTAACGCATGGAGAGAATTTAGAAATAGATTTGATGCATCTTCCATATGTCAAGATGCATAAAATCTGCCAAACAGACGGCTTTTATGCATAGTGCCAAATATACTTTTGGTCCCTTTTTACAAATGGAAAAATTATTCATTGCAACCAATACAATGATGATAATAAATGGTTACAAACATTCCATCAAAATAAAGTGAACCTATAATAAAACTAAAAAATTGATATATGTATTTTGATGGAGTGTTTGTAACTGTCCGTTACACCACGTCATTGTTGTAATGAATACTTTTCCCTAAAAATGAGCGGATATAATGAATATTAAGTTAGGTCACACACAATGAAGTCAATGATCCTCTCCAGTGCAAGAGAGGTTCTACACAAAATTCAGTGGTTGAGATTGAATTGATAAATGGAACTCACTAGTGATGATACAATCTTAACCACTGAATTCTATGCAGGACCTTTCTTGCGCTGGAGATCCTTGTCCTATACAATGGATGCTAGATTCGATACTCAAAATTAGTAAATGAATTTGTGACTGTAATGTGGGTAGAATAACGCATTTTTTACTTAACACTTCTTTGTTAGAGATTGTGAATGAAAATTGTTTGATTAGTCATCAAAAGATGTCTTTGACTGAACAGGTGTGATTACTAGTTGGATATGGGATGAAAAGATGCAACTTAAAATGAACAGACATAACCTATTGGAGTGAATGTGTCTAGTGGTGAACATACACCATGCGAACCATTACAACCTATTGGATTGGATGTGTTGTGATACCCCTCGGATCCGAGATACTGGTTGATCAGGCACAGGCCCAAACCCGAGGGAAATATCAAACAATTAAAGTATTTTAAAACGAACACAGAATATAAAGATATAAGAATTAAAATTACAAAGCTGAAAGAATTAAGAAATATAAAATCCTCTAAATAAAACTGAATAAAAATATTCCAATTCTCCAAAACCTCCAAGAGTACAACTTGGGAATCTATCTAGTGGACCCCTAAATAAAAATCCCAACTGAACAGAATAACAGAAAATAAAATTAAACTGGAACATCGAGAGAAGTCCTACGTAAGCAGATGAAAAAGAGACTGTCCTCGACAAGCACGATCAAGCTCTAAGGCTGGAATCGCCCTGTACCTGAAAAGAATAAAAGAGTGGGTCAGGCCCACGAACAAGTTCTAATCTAACTATAATCCATACAATGACCCGATACGCAGATACACCCTAGATACCTCACAATAACTATCTAGTCCATAAGTATATATATATCCACACTAAGGGACATTTACTGGACTACAATAGGGGTCTCAACCTGAATAGAAGACAACATGCGAAAACACACACAAAGGTGGGCATGAGTACCTAGACCTAACAGGGTACACCTCAACCTACCATAGCCAGTTACGCATCCATTGCATATACGCACCCTAACCAACGAGCCAAGACTCAAGCTCATCTCATGGTACCATAACCATATATCTAAAGTCCATCCCAAAACCAAAGTATGTCATTCAATTATTCATTGAGGTGACATACAAAACACAGTCCGGTTAGTCACTCAACTTATTCAATTGATATGACTTAACTACAACCAACTAATCCAGGAAGTCATTCAACTTAGTCAGTTGATCTGACTTAGGATTCAATATTTTACAATCCATTCATTTCATCCAGTAGGTTAGGTCTTAGCGTTTTGAGCTAAACCGTACTTAGTATGCCACTATCCCGTACCGGTGTATACAATCCTCCATATCCATGTAAATTACCACACATAAATACTAGTTTAGCAATTTACAGTCCAAAATCATAATCCAAATAATTGCAAAAAAGTGTTTAATATTTCAGCAACCATAATCCAAACGTTAATCCATGCAATTGCAGAAAAGGTTAAATATTTCAACAATTGACATTCAGAGCATGCATAGATCAAAAAAAATAAATAAATGACCCTATCATGCATTTAAAATAAGTTTTATAAACATACTAAATCCCATTAAATTACTGAAATTTAATTAAGCAATTTATTTCTCTTCCATCCGTTAACAGCATAAAAAGTTCATTAATTTTATATTGTTTGTCCCATTGACTTAGAGGTCAACTTTAATCAACTTAAGGTCTTAATAACACCCAAAATCAATTTCTTAATCCCTCTGTGAAGACCCAGAACCATCAGAACAGTTCCCATGCTCAAACAGTACCAACAGTGCATAAAAAAAAAAAAATCAGAAAGTGTAAATTGGAGAGAGCCTGCTCCATGACTTTCGGAGCAGGCTCTTTATGCTTGGGCGCCAGCTCCAAAGACCTTGGAGCCTGATCTGTGAGTGTGGGAGCCAACTCCCACTTCCATGGAGCCGGCTCTCACC